TCATTATCACCTCTAGTAATATATTTACTGAGAAAAATGGTGACGTGTTGAATACTTATTTTACCCGCTGTATTTACGTAGGTAAAAGTCATAAAACTGCTTACAATAATCAAGAAAGTAAAAGTAAAAGTACATTTACACATGCACTCTAAGAAATAAAGTGTTGAATTCACTAAACCAAACTGGTTCACCTTAATCGAGTTGAGTAAACTGAATTTCTTTACTTTTAATAGAGCCAGTTGACCAAACTTGGTTGAGTAAATTCAACACTTCATTTTTAGAGTGCATGAACAACTCCTTTCATGATGTGTTCTGTCATGTGTTGTTGTTTAAGAAGGGACAGTGCACTTTAAACATAATGCCAGAATTAGCCATGAAGGCTACTTTTCATTTGTAGTCCCTCAAGATCCCATATTGAAATTTTAACATCTAACTAGGTGTTAAATTTTAAATCAAAGTATCATTTTTAGGTTTAAAATGTAACAAAATTAAACTGAAAGCTGTGATTAAAAAATACTTCCTCAAATCCTCAAAAATCTTTTAAAGTACTTTAACAAATTAAATGTACTTATTACTATACATCTCAAGCTCAAATGTTTAATGGTACAGTATTTTTGTAATTTAAACAAAATAAGAAAAGTCAAGATTTGATTTTAATTTGAACCTTTTAAAGTATTAAAGATTACGCAACAACAGTAATAATAAAAGTTTGCTGTAGTTATTAATAGTTTCCCACAGCCATGTCATGGTTCTGTTAGACATCCTTTGGTTCTGCTTCTCTAACAAAAGCTTCAAACATCCATAAACCTTTTTTCATTGTCTTTTATTTTTTTAAGATCAGTTTCAGATGTGAGAATATGCCTCTTTTTTTTTAAAGGACATCACTTTTTTTGTAGCTTTGCGGAGCTCTAAATATGACTCAAACAAAGCAGATGTTTTACTTTTTGTCTTGGCTGAACAGCAGCTGCCAGCTTGAGGAGCCCTAATCTTATGAGTGCAGTAAAAAAGTAAAATCCAGTTAGTCGCTGTAAGGATTAGCTGGCAGTCAGCTGAACAGCAGCTGAGAGGTCCACCCCATCCTGTGGCGTGTCTCTCCCTGCTGCTGTGCTGCTCCGTCAGCCTGCTCTGGGAGGACGGAGATGGCAGACCCGGCGGAGTGCACCATCAAGGTGATGTGTCGCTTCAGGCCGCTGAACAGCTCCGAGGTGGCCCGGGGGGACAAGTACATCCCCAAGTTTGTGGGGGAGGACTGTGTGCAGATAGCGGTGAGTGTCTAAGGCTTCTCTGCCGATCAGAATATCATGTTTGCTGGGAGTCAGTTTAGTTTTAACAGGATATGATAGGACATTGACACAATGTATGAAGAAGCTTCTATACAGTTAAAGTTTGCATTGATCATAGATTTTTTCCTCATCAGTAGCCAGTGCTGACATGATTTCTGTAAGATAGTTTTCAACAGTTTTCTTGATTTTAGATTGTTTTTAATGCAGGATGTACTTCACCTACTGCATTGTTTAAAGGGTGAACAAAAGAAAGTAATTAGGAACTTATGTACAATCACAACTCAAATAGAGATTTTGTGTAAAATGTAGGTAAAAACAGAATGCAATAATTATAAAATCTCTTATATTTTGTTTAATATGAAACTTTGGGACAGGGGCAGCAAAAGTCTGTAAATGTAGGTGATATAAATAAGAAACAGTAGGTCTGATTCTGTTTAGAACATCAGTGCACATCTGGCTCCAAAGGAATGCTTCCACAAATCACTGTCACACTGCAGGCCAATGTGACCATATCAGTATTTTTTTCATAACAGTCTGAATGTGAGAAACCTGATTTTTTTGTCTGACCCAGGTCTTTTCAGTATGTGGTTCTGAATCTGATACATTTCTGATGTTTTTCGAAACGACAGCAGACTGAACACTATATCTCATTTCCTCTGACTTTTAAATCAGTGAGGTGGGGGTGAGCAGATCAATGAATATATTAACCTCAAGTCATGTATAAATCTTGTAGCTCCACCCATCTTCAGCTAAGGAACAGAAGTCTTGTTGCTTCCTCTTTGTTCTTTTAATTTTCCATGTCCTGGATGACTGAGAATACACAAAAACATACAACAGCAGCATCAGTTTCTGACTGTATTGATCCTAAAGATACGTGATTAAACTATACAAGCATGTCAGATAATTATTTAATCTGCTCTGATTGAACAACTGTACATGCTAACATGTAGCATCCATGTTTAGTTACTTCTGTACACAACAAGCTAAATGTGATGTCATCTTCTACACCTGCGGGGTGCATCAGGGCTGTGTCGAGTTCACAATGGAGTCGGATGGATGTCATATTTAAAATATAACATGAATATTGATGCCAAAAAAATTTATTTTTTGCAGAAAATCTGACTTGAGCATTGAGACCTGCAGTGTGAACGTGGCCTAACGTGGCTGTGCTGTTCACAAGTGCTGATTAAATCTCTATCATGGATAGAAGAATCCATATATGAATGAGCCTCTCTGATGGTATGGGGGTGCATGAGTACCTCTGGCATGGGCAGTTTACACATCTGCTTTCAAAAAGCAAAACAATGACCCAGAACTGTTGAACAACTAGAGATGTACACCAGACAACCGTTTGACAACGTTCACATTCAAAAACTCCAACAACCAGTTTCCTTATTTCCTAGAAATTTACAAGCTGTTAAAAGTACAAAAGGCAAAAAATCCATCCATACACTCTCCAGCTCCTTCAGAGGGATTCCACTGAATTCTTAAGTCAGTGAGGACACATAATTTCTCCAGATAGTTCAAGGTCTTCTTCCATTCCATGTACCTGGAAAACATCCAACAGGGAGCATCTAAGAAGCATCCTAGTCAGATGCTTGAACCACCTCAGCTGACTGTTTTTGATGTAGAGCAGCACTGGCTCTATTTCAAGATCCTCCCAGATAACAAAGCTCCTCATCCTTTGTCCAAGACTGAGCCACCAAGAAGCTCTTTTCAGCCGCTTGTATCCTGGATCTTGTTCTTCTCTGCATGATCCATATTTCATGAATGAAAGTTGGATCATTGATGGGTAAGTAAAACATTTTCCTTTCAGTTCAGCTCTTTTTTCACTATGACAGGCTGAAGCAACATCCTCACTACTGCAGATAAGGCCATAATGTAATATTTTGTCTCTTGCTTCATCCTAACATCACTTGTGAACAAAACTTTGAAATACCTGAACTCTTCCTATGGAGGCAAAGTCTCATCCTTGACCAAAAGGCTTCTTTTTTTTCTTTTAAGTTATGAACCATAGCCTTCTCAGCTGCTTTACTCTGCTGTGAACTGCCCCAGTGCATGCTGAAGGTCATGGCTTGAAGACACCATCAGAACCATTCCATGGGCAAAAAGCAGATCAGATCTTCTGGCTGTTAAAGCAGACACCATCCTCTCTATGACTGCATGAGATCCAGTCCAGGAACACCACAAACAGGATCAGAAATGAGGGATGGCTCTGAGTCTAACCTGAGAATAAACTTGACTTTGTATCAAGTGTGCAGACAGAGTCAATGCTTTAGTCATGCAGAGACCTGGTCTTTAGAAACAACCCTGGCACCTTTTACTTGTACAGCAGCCCACAAAATATTATGGGGAACAGGGTCCTAAACGTTCTCCAAGTCTATCATACACATGTGGACCAGAGTGTCAAACTCCCATGGATTCTCCAGCATTCCCCAAGATCTGTTCCACTGTTCCATGATCAGGAAGAAAGCCACACCACTGTTGGCCACTATCAAAAATTTTCAAAGCATTTAATGACTGTACATGTGTACACAATTCTGCATCTTTAAAATTGGGCAATAATGCTTACTTTTTTTCTTATTAGTAAAAGGTCTGGACGGGTTCTTTTAATGAAAGGTTTTGTCTCTCTTCCAAGACACTACATCAGTCTGAGGACTTTCAGGTAAACTCAGCCTAATAAGCACTGCCTCCACATGGTGAACAAAGAGGTTTAATGATGACAATCAAAACTGTTGGTTCCCATGCAAAATAGGACCATCAGTACCCTGATTATCACCAGGGGCTGAGTCATACTTGCAATAACAGCATTATAGGAGGGGGACAACTGGATACGAAGGCCTCCAACTCTGTTTATTGGTGAACGGTTTCATAAAAATGGCTTCCTTTACTCCTCTTTCAAACCAGTGTTCCTCTCTATCAAGGATGAGAACATCTTCATCCCTGAAAGAGTGACTGCTGACCTGTAGATGAGTGTAAACTGCAGAGTCCTGGCCTGTAGATGAGTGTAAACTGCAGAGTCCTGGCCTGTAGATGAGTGTAAACTGCAGAGTCCTGGCCTGTAGATGAGTATAAACTGCAGAGTCCTGGCCTGATGATGTAACTCGTCTGTGTTGGCTCATTCTTTTGAACAGTGGCTGTTTTGTTTCCCCAATGTATGACTGATCACAGTCCTCCTGACACTTAACAGCATATACTATATTACTCTGTTTTTGTCAGGGAGCTGGATCTTTGGGGTGAACTAATCTTTGTCACAACGTGTTTTGGGGTTTGAAAGCCACTGGGACATCATGTTTAGGGAATAAACGTCTCAGTTTCTCTGAAACTCCCGCCACATATGGAATGACGACTGGTTTGGGTCTGGGTTTAGGGTCTTCATTTTCAGCTGGTTGTTGGCTGGAATCCTGTTTGGGTTTCTTGTCTGCTTTCAGAAAAGCCCAGTTAGGATAACCTCACTGCTCCAGGGCCTGTCTTGTGTGTGACTTCTCTTTCTCCCTGGCTCCTGGGTTTGTAGGGACACTGTCTGCTCTGTGGTACAGAGTCCTGATCACTCCTAACTTGTGTTCCAGTGGGTGGTGGGAATCAAAACGCAAATACTGGTCTATATGGGTGGGTTTGTGATACACATCAGTTTCCAACTGTCCTCCATCGGAGACTGACGTCATAGTCCAGGAACACCAACCTGCCATCTTTCACATCCTCTTGTGTGAACTTTATATATTTATCCACAGAGTTGATGTGATCAGTGAAATGTTGGACTTCTTGGGATTTAATTTTAACCCAGGTGTCGTCAACATATCTGAACCAATGACTCGGCGGTGTCCCTGTAAAGGACATCAGAGCTCTCTTTTCCACCTCCTCCATGTACAGTTTTGCAAAACAGGAGTAACTGTGAAGCCCATAGTACACCCACGTTTCTGCCTATAATATTGTCCCCCATATGTGAAGTGGGTTGACTCCAGGAACAGTTTCAGGACTTGGTGGACACTACATTTACCTTTATTTTTTTTGTGAAAAGGGACAGTTTATATTGAGAAAATTGTTTTGGATTTGTTATCATTCAGTGGATCTTTAGTTACAGATCAGTAGCAAAGTATTTCTTTTTGCTCGCAGGGTAAACCATACTACTTTGACCGTGTGTTCCAGTCCAACACAACTCAGGTGCAGTTCTATAATGCCGTGGCTCAGAAGATCGTCAAAGGTAGAAACAATAAGACACTTAAATAAAGACAAATGACTAAATAAAGCTTCATACATCCAAAGCAAATTATTCATTTGGACATTGTTAATTGTTTTGTTCAAACAGATGTGCTGGACGGATACAATGGAACTATTTTTGCTTATGGGCAGACGTCATCTGGCAAAACACACACAATGGAGGTAATTTGAAGCATGCAACTGCACTTATCTTATGATTGTATATTTATTCATTTTTATCTGCTGCAGGGGAAACTTCATGACTCTGAAATGATGGGAATCATTCCTAGAATCGTGCAGGACATCTTCAACTACATTTATTCTATGGACGAGAACCTGGAGTTCCACATCAAAGTCCGTCATCCTCCAGATAAACGATCCAGAGTTCAGATAAAACACATAAAACTGACGGGTTTATTTTGCTTCTACAGGTTTCCTATTTTGAAATCTATTTGGACAAAATTAGAGACTTGTTAGACGGTATGTACTGTGGCTTCTTGAAATTTGTTTTGTTGTCTTTTCAAATGCTGATACAGACAGCAGAATGCATTAAAAGTGTGACATTTACTTTAATCTCCTTGTGTAGTATCAAAAATGAACCTCTCTGTACACGAGGATAAGAACAGAGTGCCGTATGTCAAGGTGAGCTGTGACGCAACTTTTTCACCTGTTGGTTGTTTACTTATCTCCTGCTGCAAACAGGTGGAGGTGGATGATGATGATTATTATTTTTTCTTTTTGCTTTTGCCTGTCTGTTAGCAAAATATCTCACAAAGCACTGGGCAAATTTGAATGAAATTTGCACAAAGTAGGCATTGGGTGAACCCCTACAGGTGATTAACATTTGGAGGTAGCCCAGTTCTAGGTGGCTGCCACAGTCAGCTGAGCTTAAAAAACCCATTAAGGGCTTTCATTCTGTCAGTTTCACAGATATTAACCTACAGTTTGATGTGGTGGTAGCTGAGACTAATCCTCAACACATGTTCTGAGCATAGATTGTGCAACATCTTTGTTTAAAATTTAATCAGTAACCATTTGGGGTCAACTTTTGTTTTAGTCTGTAAACAAAATATTTAACAAACCACTGTCTGGGTTTAAGTGAAACTTTTGGAAAACAATAATATTACTTATATCTACAGCTGAAGGACTTTTTCAGTCACACTCAAAAATCATATGTGTTGGATTTACTCAAATAAATTATTGTGCATAATTGATATTATTAACTGGTTCCACTCAACTGAATTGAATGAATGTGAAGCAATTTTTGCATTTACTTTAAAAGTAAATGTAAAGTAAATGTGTTACGTGTACTCAGTTTAATTGAGTGAAACCAGTCGACATAATTTGTTTGAGTAAATCCAACAAATCTATTTTTAAATGTAGTTCAAGATATACACCACGTGAACCAACACAAACATGGTTATAGGGCAGGGAATTTAACAGATATTGAGCTCAGCCCTTTCCTTTTAGATGCCTTATTTGTGACAGAGAAGCTCAAAAACACCTAAATAAAACCTTATAAATGCTTTTCACTTTGCTCTGTTGTGCAGTATTTACACGATCAGATGATAAAAGCTAAAAATACTTTGAAGATCAACTATTAAGGTCTCTTTCTTTCCACAAGTCTTCCTATTAAATTATTTCCTGAGGTAACATCTTCTTCTGGTTATATATATAAAAAAGCGTATCTGTGTTCAGCCACTCTGCTGTGCGATCAGTTCACACAGTATTTTTTGTTTTGTGCGTTCGTCCTCAGGGGTGTACGGAGCGATTTGTGTGCAGCCCCGAGGAGGTCATGGACGCCATAGACGAAGGCAAAAACAACAGACACGTGGCCGTCACAAGTGAGTTTTGTACACAGGGTGCCTTCAGTGGTGCTGCCTCTCATGGGTTCAGCCTCACCAAGTCTCCTGACTGCCACCACACTCCCAGCAGCCAGGGYGCTGGCTGGGCTCTGCACATCGCACACCTTGTGTTCTGGGCTGGAAGAAGCAATAGCACTCCAAACTAAATGTCTAGAGTTTACGTCTGAAACAAAAGACGAGGGTCTTTGAACTAATGAGGCATTTAAAGAGATAGTCTGGTCATTTTTGAATATGTTCTGTCAAATAGTTAACAGTAGACAGAGAAGCATGTTTTCACTTGTTTCTTGTTATCTGTGACATCACTTATTGAGGATGGAAAAAAAGAAAAACAAGTGGTTGTCCAGGCTGATCTGGTGAAGCGATACAGTTGCAGCCTTTTAGCACAGCTGGCAGAAACATGTTCTCTGCTCCTCTCATACATTTGTATAATAACACAAAAGCTCAGTTGAACAAACAGCAACAAACAAAACAAACAGTGTCATGCAACAGTCAGCAGTTCATTATGAACTAATGCAGTGGTTCTTCAGAGCCCACCTTTTCTTATTTCTAAGGCAAGCTGAGCCCCCTTCCCCTCCCCCCACCCTTCTCCACTCCCCCACTTCTGYGGGCAGCTGTGGTAGAGTGGTTAGGGGAGTCATTCTGGAACCGGTAGGTTGCCGGTTCAATCCCCCATCCAGCTGTCTCAAGGTTTGTTTATACTACAGGGCTGGACTGACCATCTGGCGTACCGGGCAATGCCCTATGGGCCGGTCCGGGTCTGTCATGAACCTAAAAAATATATATATATAAACATTTTTTGTCGATCGCGACGGCCTATTGGTTGATTTTCATGATCGACATGAGCTAAGCCAATGAAATCTCTCAGCACTCCTCGGCGGGCCGGAAAGACCCGCCCCTTTTCAACCAAAACTTATAAATCCTGCCAGAAGTTGCCGGTCTGGAGTTGGAAAGTAAGGTCCCAAGTGGACACAGCAAAATGTGCAAAAATGAGCAACATATTTCCCTCAACAAGCCACAAAAATATCTGACCGACCGACCGTATGTTAAATAAAACCGGGGAGGGGGGAGAAAAAAAAGAGCAGCTAGCTCTGGGAGCGGACATGTCCCGTCTGCTGTTGGTTAGCTAAAACCTGCACAGTTCAAGTTTAATTAAAAATAATATAAACTCCTAAACCTTCAGGACACGTTTAATAGACTTCAAGCTGCTGCTAACTGCAGCTTCTCTAAACGCACAGCCTCACCTGGTGAGTTAAAAAAAAACATATTGTATCATTGTTCTGCATATAAAATAGTGTGCATAGTTTAATTAAGGATTTATTTGTGAAAACTCGTAAMAAATTCAGCTGTCAGCAGGTAGATCCATGTATCAGCTAATTATTCTCTCATGATGTCCAGGTTGTGTTTGAAATGATCAGCTTGTTGAACTGTTTGAACAGGAATATTTTTATTAACAGTCTGATTGAATCAGCAGCTGTATAAATGTTAGACTGATGGTCCAGTTCAGGTTCATTTATGCTTCTGATCTTTACTAAAATGAACACATCAGGTTTTTTTTACTGAAACAGCTTCTTAAGATAAAATGTGATAAAAGTTGGTCTGTGAGTGTGTTCACGTTTTACAGTAGATTTTTATATTTTTTATGTTAAAATATAAGAAATAAATAAATAGGTTTGGGTCAAATGAAATAATTTGACCTGAAATTAGTATCCATGGGTTTTGTTTATTACACTAAATGTTAAATAAAATATGCTATACATCCCTGAATAATACACTGTAGTATATTAAATTTAAAAATGATACCTTTAGATGTGAATCAGAGCTCTACATTTGACTTTGAGGAAGGAGGAAGTTTTAGTTTTGTTTCATTTGATGATCTGTTAGTTTAAAATCTTACAGCAGCAGGTAGAACTGTGATGACACATAAATACTGTTTCAGTCACATTGTAATATTTTCAGTGTCACCAGGTAAAGAAAGAGCTTCTTACTGACAGGTTAAGATAAAACTGAGTTCAGTCTCTGTTACCACGGTGATCTAATTAGGTTCAGACTCAGTCTCTGTTACCATGGTGAGCTAACCAGGCCTAAAGAAATCCTTTATGACTGAAAACTTTAGGTTTAGCAGTTGTCTGATCTGTTCTGTGATCCACTGACAGCATCAGAACCTCATGAACATTAAAGTCTCTGAGTGGAAGAAGAGCTCATCAGGTTTTTAACATGGTTACTCTCTTCCTTGTAGGCTGCTGCACTTTAACTTGTGAAACACGTCATGCAACACATCCTCTGGTATGTCGTGTCCATTTGCGTATTATATAAATAATGGTGGGCTGCCAGGACCAGAAAATGCCAGGGCCATTTGTTGGTCCCAGTCCAGCCCTGATACTCCATGCAAGAGGTGCGGCTGCAGCCCAGCGATGACGTAATTGCGTTTGTGTCACCGACTGCAGCGAGTGTTTATACTTGGAAAAGACGTGGGGGATACATTATAGTAATCCCTCCATCAAGCAACACAAGCGTGATTTTATATTTAAGCTTCTGTATAAATCACTTCATTTTCTCTAAAAAGTAGGCCTAGTGAGGGTGTTTTATTACCTCGATTTGTGAGTCCGTTGTGTCAGATGTTGTCATGTTTGTTGTCGTCCCCTGGTGTTTAATGCACATGTCCAGCAAAAAAAAAAAAAAAAAAAAAAAAAAAAAAAAAAAAAGGCAAAAAAGAAATAACGAGGAACTGGATTGGTCCCGCCAGGATCCCCGCTCCGGACCTGCATTCTCCGTTTGGTCTTTGCAAACCGGTCACGGAGAGTCTGCCACCGTTTGCGGCAGACASAGTTTGCAATGTTTCTGCAATCTCCCTCCATGAATTTTTTGCCATTTGGCATTACTTGTACTCYGCAGTAGAGAAGTCATACAGATGTTTGTACCTCCGGACCGCCTCGGCGAATTTCTCTTTGAAATTATCCATGTTTACAAACAAAAACCGGCCTCTGGAAGCGAGTACCGGGTAGCGGAGTGATACACCAAACAAAAACGCCCACAAACTTTAAACCAATCACACGCGCCGAGCCGCAACCTCCGYGTCTSGGAGTGCTGWCTGGGGGCAATGTATTGGACGGCTGTCACCGGAGGATCACAGCGGGAGTGCAGACGGAAGTTGCGCAACTTTTTTTCACTCAGCGGTGGGGTAAAAGACGTGCGACAAGAAGTATAAACCAGCCTTCAGTTGTTGTGTCCTTGGGCAAGACACTTCACCCCTAATGCCTCTGATGTGTGTCCCATCAGTATATGAATGTGACTGGCACTGATTAGTCTCCATAGATGATTGTATATGTTAGCTTTGTAGAGATCTAGTAAAGGGCTGTGTGAATGGGTAAATGAGGACCCAGATTGTAATGTGAAGTGGTTTGAGTGTCCTGGATGGATAGAAAGGTGTTATAAAAGTACAGTCCATTTACTTCTTCCAAAAATGCATTCAACTTTAATTAACATTAATTTACTGCTCTAACAGATTCTTTGCTTAGGAGTGGGCGTATCGCTTATCAGTACCAAGCTGGGTATCAGTATTGGATCAATACTAGTGTAATAAAATCACTTATTTTGTGTACGTTTTATTTGCACTATTACTGCAAAATAAAGTCAGTGGAATAAAGGCTCCAAATTGTTTGGAGTTAGTCATTAGTCCTCTACATCATAGAAGTTATTTTATTGTTGTGTTGTTGACATTGTTACATTGTTGCTTCTTTTTTTGTTATTTCACACTAGTGACCTTTTTTCTTAAACAGTTGCAAGTCGTATAGGGTAATTATTTTATTATTTTTATACTGTTACATTATTTTATATTGCTGTAGTTAGTTAATACAAAACATTTTTATTTGTCTTAAATCTTTGATCATAAATGACTAACTAAAGGCAAAACCACAGAATTRTTTAACAGACCTGACAAGTATCTGAATCTGCAATACCAGCCCTGGATTTACTTGGTATCAGATTGATACCAAAATCCCCAGTATCGCCCACCCACTGAATTAATGTATTCTTTTAGAATGCCAGTTTGTTGTTTATGAGAAACATTGTTTTATAAGCCTGAAAAWCAAGAAAACACATGTGCTGAGCATAAACCTATAACGCTTTATTAGCCTAACTTGAACAAATACTTTTACTTCTTTCTCCACACTCTGTACTTCATGACAGCTACAAACACAGATTGCATCATTTTCAGACATACAACTCTGTTTGTAGGTTTTCCTGTTTTATTCTTGTTTGTTTTTGTTTCTCTGTGCACGTCAGACATGAACGAGCACAGCTCCAGGAGTCACAGCATCTTCCTCATCAACATCAAGCAGGAAAACACCCAGACGGAGCAGAAACTAACCGGCAAGCTGTACCTCGTCGATCTGGCTGGCAGTGAAAAAGTGCTGCATCGTCTCACTCCTCCTTATTCTTTATTCCTCACTGTCTCACTCTTCATAGTCTTTAAGAATAAAAAAAATCATCTCTGTTTTATTTATGTGCAGTTAGAGCTGCCACTTAATAATATTGATTAAATAATGTTTTGTACTGCTTTCATTTAGGTAATTATGGTAATTAGATGGTTCTACCTTTTCCAGGAAGCAGTTCTTGTGATTTAACTTGTCAAATTTACACTTGCTTTGAAATGCTTGCTTTCGAGCTTTATTGTGTTTGTGACTCCAAGGTGGGTAAAACTGGAGCAGAGGGCACGGTTCTGGATGAAGCAAAGATGATCAACAAGTCTTTGTCGTCGTTGGGAAACGTCATCTCAGCTCTGGCTGAGGGTTCGGTGAGACATCTCCCAGCGCCGATCGGTCTAAATAAACCTTCAAACAGAAACCATGATGAAGACACATATTCATTTAAAATGTTTTCAAATGTGAAGGAACTGCTTATGTCCATCAGGGACTGATTTTTTACTTAAAAAGCCCAAACAGACCCATGTTATGGGATCAAAGATTTAGTATGGATCCAGTATATCTTTGTTTGTAAAGAACGTTAAACATCCGTAAAGATTTAAAGTGCTTGACGCAGCAGATATATTAAAACATGAAAGTTTAAAAAATCAATAAAATAAAAATAATAAAATCTGGGAAAAGACAATAAAATCAAACCTAACAAGATGGTTTTGAACTCTCATTGGCTGAACTCTGGTTAAGTAGCCCCATCTTCAGGTGTGAGTGCTTGAAAACATCAAGACTGATGGTTTTTATTCTGCCCTTTATCAGAGCTACGTCCCATACAGAGACAGTAAAATGACCCGGATCCTTCAGGACTCCCTGGGAGGAAACTGTCGGACCACCATGGTCATCTGCTGCTCACCTTCGTCTTTCAATGATGCAGAGACCAAGTCTACACTGCTGTTTGGACAGAGGTATGTAGGCACAAACACACACTCTAACATTACACACCCATTTCCCTTAAGGTGACAGAGYCACTGTGTTTCTGAGTATATGAACATTACTTTACCAGAGCTGGAAGGAGGGGGCTGGGCTAAATACTGGATGCACCAGTTTTGAAACCAATTTTAGTCTTTGGTTAGGTTTAGCAAACAAGCAAACTTTCACACAATAATCATTACAAAGTAACATTRTTCTTTAGATTGAGAGGGATTTTCCAATCATGTTAATTCCGTCGCTGATGCTGAGTCATTTAATAAAAAGAAACGGCCCATATCGAGTCTCAGTCCAATTAGTGCATTATTTAGATTTTATTTTTTTAACAGTGAAGGCTGACAGATTATGACCCACAAGTACATTAAAGTCATTTCTTGGCGGTTCTTGGTGGAGCATGGTGGTGAAGGCAGTGTAACCATGATGTGGGCCTTGTACACACTGATCGGGCTTGATTGTGGAGAAACTGAAGCAAGACTGGCCTCATGTCTGTGCTTCRTGGAAACAACCAAGTGAAGACGTTACCTGTAGCTGCATCCTGATGTGGCTCAAGAGAGCTGGACCAGAGCAGGCAAAATGAATGAAGTGAGGGAGCAGGAGATTGTGTCAGGAAAGTGGAAAATAACAGGAAAAATGTTATTTGTGGACTAAACACAGCAAAACAGTATCTTCAATGTCTTCAATTGTTTCAATTCAATTCAGTTTCTTTATATAGCGCCAAGTCACAACAAACGAGATCTCAGGGCACTGTACACAAGAAAACAATCAATCTAAAGAAGCCAGCAGATTATGTTGAATCTTTTCTTCATCACACTCTCCCATCCATAGCAGCCCGTTGGTGTAAGTGGAGAAGAAAAACTCCCTTTTAACAGGAAGAAACCTCCAGCAGAACCAGGCTCAGGACAGGCGGCCATCTGCCTCGACCGGCTGGGTTTGAAGGACAGGAAAGAGAGACAGACACAGAGGACTGATCCAGGTGTATTTTTCTCTGGAAGAGACAAAGAAAACACAGTATTGATAGAAATAATCACAACAAACATGTGGAGGACAGAGACTCAATACAGCAGCAGAGAGTCAAAATCCTGAAGTATTCTAAGCCCAGAAACAAGTAATAACTCAGGAATAACTAAGGAAACCTAAGCCTAACTATAGGATTTATCAAAAAGGAAAGTCTTAATTCTTGTCTTAAAAGTAGACGCACCCAGTAACGTGTCGGCACAACAGAAACTGGAAGTTGGTTCCACAAGAAAGAAGTTTGATAACTCTAGGAACCATAAGTAAACCTGTAGCCTGAGARTGAAGGGCTCTGTTAGGAAAATATGGAATAATAAGATCTTTAAAATAAGATGAAGCTTGGTTAAGAGTTTTTTATGTTAGGAGTAATATTTTAAAATCTATTCTGAATTTGACAGGGAGCCAGTGGAGAGAAGCTAAAACTGGAGAAATACAGTATGATCCCTCCTTCCAACTTTCATTAGAACTCTAGCAGCAGCAACTTGGATCAACTGAAGACTTTTAAAAGAGTTCAGACTGAAGGAGTTTTGCCAAACGTGCATCAGTCCAATTAAGTTTCAATAAGTTGTGTAGATCAGGAAAACTGAGTCCAACCTGAATGAACCTGCATTGATCTTTCCAGTTTTTACCCAACAGAGCAAAGACCATCAAGAACACCGTGAGTCTGAATGTGGAACTGACCGCAGAGCAGTGGAAGAACAAGTGGGAGAAAGAGAAAGAAAAAAACAAGACGTTGAGAAACACAGTCACTTGGCTGGAGAACGAGCTCAACCGTTGGAGGAGCGGTAAGAGGCTCCGACACCCCTCCCCCATATCCCTATTTATTTATCTTGGCAATAAATTTTAAACCTTTGGAAAGCCAGTTAATTTCTCTTTTAAATGGTGCCACATTTGTAAGGAACATGCATTTGTGGGATGAGCAGCTGAGTATGAGGGTTGTGAACATGAAAAATTTGTCAAAATTTCTAGCTTCTTTTGTTGCTGTTATTGACACTTGTTTTAAACTTCTGGTGCCCCCAGGTGTTGCCAATCAAGTGCTAGCAGTACCAGTATGGAGGATCAAAACTGTCATTATTAGAAATAAAAGCTGAAATACATAAATTGACCCATAAATAAATAAATACACTTAAAATGCACCAATTCAACAAAAAAGTAGAACTTTACCTCATGTTTTATCATTTAAATGACCTTCATATTTATTTTTCCAACTTAGTTCCAATAAATTCTATATTTTAGAACATACA